TCCTTAACGCATTGTTTTGGTATTATTTGTTCAGTGGCTCACTTTCGGGTGAAGCGTCTTTTTCTTTTTCCACTGGTTTGATTGGTGTGCCATCGGTGGTCTTGTCACCATACAAATCCAAATTTTTAGCATGGTACCACACCAGAAGGTCAAAAAATGCACCAAGAAACGTGAACACTGCTGCACTCGAGTGTAAAAAGTATCGGAATTTGATTGGATCGTACAGTTGACAGTTGCCGCGTCGTCCACATTTGTAGCCCCATACCAAGCATGTGCTGTCAATGACTACACCGAAAATGATTGGACCGGGGATTAGCGCGAATAAACTGACCATAAACAGCGATAATCCCTGGGCAAATGCTTTGTCACGTGGTTCAACTGCTCTACAATTCGGAATTGAATTTCATTTGTTAATTTGATGCAATATTCAATTTTTCATTCATCATAATTTTAAAGCAAAAGAATAAATTTGGTCAAACAATCATTCTTCAATGTGAGTTTCATTTCGCTTACCGGAAATTTAGCAGAACATTCCCAATTCGACCGGTGGATGACATCAAACTCGAGAACATTGAAATAATCGAAAAGGCGATATAAGCAAATGTGCAATCACCGAAACATGCTCCGGGAAAAATATGTTCATGATCTGTATGCTTTCGACGTTCTCGCTTGTTTGCCTCCACTTTTGCCACTTCATACACTTTACTTTCGTCATAAAGATGATTTCCGTCGATAACAACATCGTCGTCATGCGGTGGTTTATCAGGTTTTAGCTCTTCATCATAAACATCTTCCAGTGTGATGCGTTTTTCGGTTGGTTTTGCTTCACCATTCAATGTGGCTTGATTTGTGGAGCTTTCCATAAACATATGACTAGCTAAAAATTCGGCAGCGGATCTCTTAGTTATCGATGCTTGGATATTACACGAGCAATCTTTGTAAAATTTTTGTTCTTCATCGAATACTCTACAGCCCCGATGACACGGTGAAAAATATGTTGTACCTGTTAAGCGATCACATACTGGACTGTATGCGACTCCATCACATGCACAATTCGAATTGCACGAAATAATGGTTCCGTTAACCAACAGCGAATTATTACCATTCTCACAACCCAGTTGAGTGTACAATAATGCGACACACATTGATTTCAATCCAATCATCACATTCCAAAAGAATAAATACTTTGGCGGTGGCTTATACTTTGTGATAGCATAACCGGATGTCAAGAGACCGACAGCCGTTCCTATGATTGTCATGGGACCAGTGAATATGCTGCCACCGTGTGATGTTTTATTGAACTGAACTTCCATCACTCTGCCCATAAATATCATGAAACCGGATGCGCCAAGGATATAGAATATAGATGACATATTGTTGAAAATTAACACCTTGTTTGTTAGCAGTCGCATCAATGCCTTTGGGAAATCTGAAAGTTGAATTCGACTTAATTCAGAATGGCTTTATTCAAATATCTTTTTCTATCAACTAAAATTCTATGGATTTTGGTCATTTTGTTTCTCTAATCCAGCCAACCAAACGGCTGACGCTCGTTATTCAGATGATTTACGCACGGTGAATGCATGTACATTGTACAACGTTTCGCCACCGCTGCACACAGCTCGTTCGTCGTTCGTTCACCGTAGTGTTCAGCGCTTTGGACAAGTATGAAAGGTCATGGAAATAACATAAGAGAAATTGTCAGCTGTTTAAATGTTGTGTTTGAATTCAAAGAAAAATCCGTTGAGTTTAAATGATGTTCATGTATCAAACGAATGAAGCAAGAGTGGTGAGCGAAGAGAAATCATCAAGAACCAAAACAACTAGTGAGCGTTCTCACCATGTGAATGCATGGAAAAGCACACCACTCAGTGTGCGCCCGCTTCTCCTTCTACAGCTATTCTACGATCAGTGAACGAACGACAAACGGAATATTTACGTGGCAGCGGAGCGTTCTATATGCGCCATTCATCTCAAAAACGAGCTTCAGCCGTACCTGACCATCTAGCGCGTTTGGTTGTCTGGTCTGATCTGAAAGAAAAGATTGATTCGGAATAATCCAAATCTTTTTTTTTTCTATCCATTTCTCCATCTTTGAAAATAATTATCAAATCCTATAAGTAAATTTTCAAGTAAATTTACCTTTCAATTCCCCATCCTTTCTCTCTTTGGTCGATCTTTTTTCCACTGTCTCAACTTTCTGATCGCATTTTTCGTCATCGATTTCGTGTTCAATGGATTGTTTCTTCTTCGGCAAGTGTTTCGGGAACAAACCGATCAATCCAGCAAAAATGAACATCAGCACACCAAGTAGAATCCATCCAAGCCACCAAGCACCCAACCATCGAGGATCATCTCTTGCAATGACTGGCGTCAAAGTGGGATCAATGTAAATACTCATCATTAAATAAGCAAGAGCGATTCCAACTATCGGCCCGATCATACGCATCGAAAATGCATAGGCCAACATTAACGGTGTGTTTCGTTGCTTGGTGTTGTCATCTAAATAGGACTGGCCAAGCGAATAATATAATGTGTTACCGATCCCGAGCACGAATTGTGACATGAATATCAACACCAGCGGAACATACGAAAACTTTTCATCACATTTGTAGATCTTTTCCATGGTAGTTCTGCATAATTTACTACTTTTAAAATCCACCGGTTTCGAAAGCATATGCGATGTAGCATTCTGAACATTGCATGGAAGAAGAAAAGTGAAACTACTGTGAAACATGTTTATTGAATGAATTTATTCGCTATTTGCAGTGCATGAAAATATATCAGAATGAATTGCAAGTGCAATGCATCGCTTTTGATAAGAAAAAGTTTGTCTCACTTTATATTCAGCCAAATACTCCTCTGTTAGTTCATACGCCTCCTCTCCGGCGCCATAAATAAAGTGCGGCCAGGCGAGAATAAAGCACGACAATGCACTGAAAACAACACCCCATGCAATCCATCTGGGTCGATTTCGTTGACCACCAAAATATGTTAAGATCAGTGATAATAAAATCTGCGATATTTCATTACCACTCAAAATAATTCCTAGGAACTCAGACGAGACAAAGAGGAAGAGAGAAAGAGATGGAAGAAGAAAACAAATTGTTGATGAATCAAAAAAATTCCAATGATTTTGCATTGATGTGTGATATACACTCAATCAATATCGGAATGATTAAACGGTGTAGAAAGCAAATATTTGCGTTGGCTAGCGTCCGATGGACGATTAATCAACTCGTGCCTCAATTCAAGTGTGCGCTTCAGAGATACGAGGTGGAATATTGATCTATAATAATCTATAAATAAATCGATTTTAATTGCTGGTTTCACGACAATGAAATCATAATCGCAAAAAGTGGATCGGTTCGATCTTTGTTTCATTAAATCGAACCGCTTTCAATTTTCATTCGGATGATAAAGAGCGGAAGAAAACTATTTGCTATGATCAAGTATTTTTGAGAAGGTGGTGGCGGCGGCAAAGTCTCACCTGTCGTTTGGCTGGGTATTTTGAAGCGTTTTTCAATTGTTGTTAATGTGATAACAAAGTACAAATAACTGGTGGCCTGAATTGTGCCCAACAACCCATAAACTATCATAAACCATCGTGTCGTTGCGAATTTACGCAACCAATTCGGATGCCAACACTGAACACCACAACGGTCCATTTTGTTTCTCTTATTCGTTTCTGTTTCTTTTTTGCCTCTCTCCCTCTCTATCACGAGTTCTTTGATAGATACTCAAAAATCAGTGCGTTATTGCAACTGAACAAAATGTCAAATCACAGAATGTTGTTGGTTTTTTGTGCTCCGCTCACACATACACTTTCTTTCTCTCTTTCATAATCTGGATTGATTTTTCTTAATTAGGAAATGATTTGAGTTTTGAGCACTTTTCAACACATACACAACAACGGCATAGACAAGCACAACAACGGCGATACGCTCATTTCACACACAAAGCACTTGAAAACTAATGTCACATGCCAATTCCGCGCATAATTGCATAAAAAGAGCCGTTGATTAATGCACTTTATTCACGTTGTTTATTCACTCCGATTTCGACAAGATTAGCCAGTTGTTGTTGTTGTTTTTTCCCAAGGAACGACGAAATTTTTCTAATATTATTCAGGCTAATTTCGCACTATTCTAATTTCCAGGTTTGAGCCTTAGTAAAATTGTACGAGAAAAATAGAATATTCCTTTGTTAGGCGCAAATTGTTTGTACGGTTTTGATCACTCTAAATTAAACGCAACTGAGCTTAGCTCAATTGACCGTACGACTAACCGTTGCCGAATCTATTGAATAACTGAGCGTGCGGACGACTGATCCATAAGCAGAACGCTTGTCTATTGCTCCACAATTGATAATTGCAACCAGCCACTTCAACGACGACGGCGAATACAAAAACAATCTATCGCATCTATAATTCAATTGTGTTTGTGTACATTCAAACATTCAAAGTGATGAAACATTTCAAGTCGCTCATTTTCTTTTACTATCGTTATCATAAAATCGACAGAGAGAGAAAATATAGCCACTATATCATATCTTCTTGAGAGGGAGAAAGGGTAAGATAGAAAGTAGAGTGTTCGACTAGTTGGAAGAAAAATGAAAATAAAATGTTCATGAAGAATTACGTTCGAAGGCATTACCTTTCGACAGTGATAAACAAACGCTTTGCACATATGTACGCATTAGGCAAGAAACATGCAATCACAAACAACTTGTGCTCCCGAAACAGAGTCACTGACAGCAATAATAAGTGATTGTGGCCGATGTCATAGCGAAAATAAAGATTGAACAGGCGAGCACGCTGCTTGCTTTGTATGAAACATTGATTTTTATTGTGCATATTCATTCTAAATTCGGACGCTCAATTGAATAGTGACGAAATGCTTACTTGTTGTTTATATGATGATTTCACTCGCAAACAACACAGAAGTCTTGTGTGATAGAGCAGTTCTTCGAGTTGGTGTCAAAATCTGCATCTTTCACTTTAAATTTCACTGTGCAATACATAAGCTTCAGAATCAAATAGAAAAAAAAAACAAATTTTCGACATGGCTCACCTTGGATGCATTTTTTTGCAATCGTATCAAGTTTCATAATGTTGCTCAAGTGTCATCTTGTTAGGTGGATAAAATTATTATAGATTTGATTCTGTTTGTTTTTTATCGAAAGGTAAAGAGTGAAACTCAGTGTTTGAAGCTTTTTGACATTTTTGTTTTTCATGCAAGTTTTGTTGTCATTATTTATTCTGTGAAAATGTTCAAAAATGATAAATACACAAATTTATTATTGTAAGCACATTTTTCTATTTATTAATAAAGAAGATACACACAAATCGTAAATTTATGCTAAGTGTTAACCAACTAACGACCATTGAGTGATTTTGGATTCATTTTGTTTTTGATCCCTATCGTCCATATTTGCAAAGTTTGCTCCAGCACAGTTCTTTTTCTTAAAAATGTAGCTTCAATATGGCTTTCGAGGTCACTGAAAACAAAACTGGAATCAGAACTATGAAAATCACAGTGGTTAAATCTTGGTCGTCATAGAGTTGAGTGGTTGAGTTTCAGGTGAATCGTCTTTGTCATTTTTGATGGGTTTTGGTTTTTCTTCACCATATAAATCTAGGTTTTTGGCATAGTACCATAGCACCAAATCAAATCCGACGCCAATCAGAATGAAAAATGCCGAACTTGAATGCATGTAGTATCGAAATTTGATGGGATCATTTTTTGATGTGATCATAGAGGAACGTAATTAAAACTTAAATCATGATCAATTTTAGGTTTATTTATTCTCAAACAGATTAGATTAAAATACTAAAACCGTTCATCTGTATGGTAGTAAACAATAACATGCTAGAAACTAATAAATATACACACAAAGAATCCTTAACGCATTGTTTTGGTATTATTTGTTCAGTGGCTCACTTTCG